CCTCCCACAGTGAACATTCTTCCCACAGTGACCATTCCTCCCACAGTGACCACACCTCCCACAGTGACCACGCCTCCCACAGTGACCACGCCTCCCACAGTGACCATGCCTCCCACGGTGACCATACCTCACAGTGACCACACCTCCCACAGTGACCATTCCTCCCACAGTGACCACACCTCCCACAGTGACCATGCCTCCCGCAGTGACCATTCCTCCCACAGTGACCACACCTCCCACAGTGACCACACCTCCCACAGTGACCACGCCTCCCACGGTGGCCACGCCTCCCACGGTGACCACGCCTCCCGCAGTGACCACGCCTCCCACAGTGCAAACGCTCTGTACCTAGCTCTGCTGCTCTGCCAGCGGGCGGTGACGAGCTCAGGGCAGAGGCCATCACTTCCTGGACATCTTCAGTCTGCATTTGGCTGGGTCCATGGACGTGGACCTGAGGAAACCCAGGGCCAGCTGTACTCACTTCCATTTTCAGTTCTCTGGTGTCCAGGGCCATGCGTTCACACTGACACCATTTGGAGCCAACACCATGGCACCATATTTGTTCCCCGTCTTTGACGGAGAGAAACCCGCCCCACTGCCCGCCTCTCTGTCTTGTGGCTCAGCCCTGGGCCCTCGCTCGCCTGGCTCCCGGCTTGCGCACCCTGGCCAGTGGCCTCTCCCTCAGCCACTGGGGTTGGAGAGGGAAGGGAGCGGCTGGCAGAGGTGGCCCTTTGGCAGAGTCACGGGTGGAAAGTCCGCGGGCTGGAGATGACCCTTGCACTGTCCTGTGCTTTCTGGTTTTGTTGGTTGGAAAAACATGAGCATGGAATAAGGCGAAGCCAGGGACAGGCCCCGGGATGCTGGCCCCAGGCCTCAGCCTGTCATCTCCCAGCGTGGCCACGTCTTGGCCCTTGTTGAGAAGAGGTGACAGGCTCCCACAGAGGTAGCTTCAGACCTCATAGAAATAGGTTAACCAGGGACAGGAGTCGCGAGCCCGGAGTGGCCGTTGGCGAGCTGTCAGTGTGGTTCCCATCCCCTCGGCTGCAGGGCGATCCCAATATGCCAGGGGCGCGGCTCCCCGTCCTCTGGGGGAGCTGATTCGTCAGAGGTTCCCCCATGTGCAGAGCAGACTTCCCAGCTCAGTGGCTCAAGGAGAAGACGAGGTCTGGTGGTGTCCTGGGCCCTGCGGGGTCAGTGTGGCTCCGAGGGGCCGCGGCAGCCACTGTGGGCTTCCTGACTCTCCCTCTGGTCTCCGCCCCCCACCTCCGCACTTCCCAGGGGTGTTGCTGGGCTGTTCTGAATAAAGGAACGAACTTCTGTCCTGCAGATGCCCCCATCTGGGGATGTCACGGGTCCTCAGGTTTCCGGGCCCCTGAGCCATGATTGGACCTGGAGATGGCCTCATGCCTGGCCCTCCACCGGAACAGTGGGAACTGGGTCCTCCTGGACTGTGTGTCGGGGGACTGCAGGAGGACTCAGGCACTGTTAGGGGCTGGGGCCGGTGCTGCCTGCTGCAGGGTCTGCGAGGCAGGTTGGGGACAGCAGCCGTGGGAGGCGCAGTGTTCGAGGTGGGCGTCTCCAGGGTTTTACCTGGAAGCTCTCCCAGTGAATAGTCCAGTGTCTTCCCTATCACCATCCTCCACCACGATCTGTCCACTGGGGCTCTTTCTTGTAGACTCCGCAGAGGTGACGTTCACTCCCTCTGTCTCAGTGACCGTCACTTACAGCTGGGGAGAGCTCAGTCTGTGCTCTTGGGAGCTTGAGGCTGTCACCATGGGGGGCCACCTGCCCTCTTCACGGCTGCCCACTTCCCGCTGATCAGGAAGCACTGGCTCAGAACCTAGGCTGGAAGGGAGGGACCCAGCCTGATGGGGTGCCCAGCTTCCTGTGACCCAAAGGATTCCCTGCAGGGAATGTTGTTCCCCTTCCACAGACGAACACATTTGTAGACTCCAGAGAAAAAGCCCTGATTAGTGCAAGGTTTGTGGCTGGGGTCCACATCTGCCGGTCCCAGAGCCCTGGCGGTTCATAAATCACACTGGCTGGCCCGGGAGGGCTTGGGGACGGGCAGATCATGCCAAGGGACAGCCGGCCCTGGCTCCTGCTGCCTGCCTCGGGCCTGGGCTATCTGTAAAGCAACAGGAGGGGCAGGTGCTGCCCCCACCTGGACACAGCATGGGGAGCGGGGAGGGGGTCACCAGGGGGCTGAGCACCCAAGGTGCAGTTCACAGAGCTGCCCACCAGGATCCCCTGATCTGCAGGGAAGGGAGGCCCTCTTCTGGGGCCCTCTGTGCAACAGCAGAGCATGCGTCCCCAACCAGTCACACCCTCCTCCTCCTGTCAGCAGTCAGAGGCTGGAGCCACCACGAGCCTCACTCTGTGCCCCGTGGGCTCACCACCACACGTGGGGTCCCACAGACTCGGGCGAGCGGCAGGGTCGGGTGTGGGCACGGGGCCAGGCTGGAGGGGACTTCGCGGTGCGGGCGTGTGGCCGGGCTGGGGACACAGGGCGGGCGTGGCCCTGGTCTCAGCGCGGCCCCTGTCGCAGGCCTGCAGGTACGGACACGTGCAGCAGCTGGAGCACCTGCTTTTCTACGGCGCGGACATGGGTGCCCAGAACGCCTCGGGGAACACAGCCCTGCACATCTGCGCCCTCTACAACCAGGTCAGTGGACGCTCGGCCCTCCTCCCAGACGGGGCGAGGGGTGGGGCCAGGCCTGGGGGAGCACTCGGGCGACCCCGCCCCCGCTTCAGTGGCCACCACGTCCTGCCCCTGAAAAGAGGAAACAGAGCCCGGCAAGTGGGTCCAGAGGCCCAGGTCACATCGGGGTCCCAGGCCGAGGACTCAGCCTGTCCACTGCAGTGACACACCCATGCTGCTCTGGTCCCCAAGGTGTGCAGAACCCCAGGTTCTCTTGTCCCACACACCCAGGGTGCGAGCTGCTCAGTCCCAGACTCTGTGACCTTGACTTTCTTCCTACTGTTGTGAAGCCCTTTACATCCCCATCCTGACCACGTCCAGTGCCCAGTCCAGGAACGCTGGACACACTCACCCTGCTAGGTGGCCGGCAGCACCTCCACCTCCAGGGCTGCTGGCCTCCCCAGCCTGACGCTCCACCCATCCAGCACTGACTCCGCCCCCAGCCCCACCCTCCTCCGGTCTCTGTGGGTCTGCCAGCTCCAGGGGCCTCACAGCCTGGAGTCCTGCAGCAGCCGTCCCCCTGTGAGGGTTCCGTGCCCTCATCATCATGTCCCCTAGCTCTGTCCCTGGTGCAGCAGGCGTCAGTGACGTGTCTGGAGGCTGCGTGGCTTGCTCCATGGAGGGAGGGCAGGTCTGTGTGTCTGTTCTTCAGCTGATGGACTCAGGCTGCTTGCACCTCTTCTGTGGTGCATGGTGCTGCAGGGGACATGAGCGTGCAGCCATGGAGGACTCTGCCCTCTGTCCTGGTGTGACCCGGTGGCCACACACAGCTCCCACGTCACAGCCACTGAGCGCTCCAGGGCAGCACAGGTCGGCAGAGTCGGGGCGATGGCCCTGCCCTGGGGAGAGCAGCTCCTCCTGGGCCCCCCTGAGGGCACCCTGGCTGGGGGGCAGCTGAGGGGGCTCAGGAGGGCTGCTGCCCCGTGTGCAGTCAGTAGTGAGGAGGACCAGGGTGGACACCTATGGGCTGCAGTGCCCTTGTGCCCACGGTGGGGTCCACCTGCGCCGTCCCTACCGAGGCTTTCTCTTCCTTTTCCTTCCCTGGTTTCAAGGAGCATGAGGTCCCAGGTCCCAGGGTGGTGAGAGTGGACCCCACGCCATGCAGCCCAGCAGTGGAGGTGGGTGGGTCTTCCTGGAGGAGCAGGAGTCCCAGTGCAGGGGCTGTGCTGGAGGCCTGGGCACCCTGTCAGTCCTCAGCATCCTCTTCCCAGTCTGCAGCTGTGATCCCAGGCTCACGGTGACTTCAGGTGACATCTCAACCTTTAGCCACTCCCACGTCCATCCCCAGCCCCTTCGTGGCTGCTCCTCAACCCAGGCACCTCTAGCCACCTCGAAGTCCCATTTGCTTCCCGCTCTTAAACCTTCCTGGATTCTTTGCTGGGAAACTCCCATGCATCCTGCGATACCCAGTTGGGATATCCCCACCCAGCCACGTCTTCCCTTGAGAGCCCTGGTGGGACACAGCAGAGTGACGTGTGCAGCGTGGGACGAGCAGCCCCCCCCCCTCCCCGTTCCCTCTCCACCTTGAGCCCCGCCTCAGGGGCATGGGCTGCCTCATTCTCCTCTGGGCTTAGCACGGGAGAGGAGCGACTGGGCAGCAGGGCAGCTGGGTGGGAGGAGCGTCCTGCAGAGCTGCGGGCTCGCACAGGAGGCTGCCTGTGGGATTTGTATGCAGCGCGGCTGGTCCGCGTGGCGCTTGGGAGGCTGTGTGAGCCTGGGTGCTTGCCTGGCTGTAGCTGCTAGCACATCTGCACAGCATCTGCTTAGTAATTACTGCCTGAGACGGAAAACATCCCTTAATTTCCTCCCGTGTATTTCAAGCATATTTTGCCATTGGAAAAAAAAAAGGAAATCATTTTTTCTGTCACTTGAAATAATTGCACACAAGTTGGTCTTTGAAAATGACGATGGGAGTTTTTATTGGAAAAGGTCAAAACATTCAGAGGGGAAGGTTCTTAGCTCTCCACATGCCCCGAGCTCGTCCCCACCACTCAGGAGGGGCCGCGGCTGTCCCAAGCAGTGCCCCCTGCCTTCCGTCGGGGTGGGTCAGTGGACTCTGCCGGCCAGTGAGTGAGCACTTGGGCTTTGAGCCGCGTGAAGCCTGCTGCAGGCGGCGGCTCTGGGGCTGCTGCAGCGTGTTCTCGGAAAGGTGGCTGCACCCCAGGGCAGAGGGCGCTCGGCCTGTGGTTTGCAGAGCCTTAAAGTGGAAGGCCCCACCTGCCCTCCGCCCACCTGGGTTAGCCACATGCCTGGCAGGGGCTCTCTGGCCTCTGCCCAGCAGGCCTGGGGCCTCTGCCCTGGTAGGGAGAGCTGTCTTCTCCCTGGGCCTGGGATCACCAGGGCAGCCGGCCGCTGCCAAGCTCCAGCTTCCGGGGAGTGCCGAAGGTGGCAGGCTGAGCTCTGACCGCTGCCCTGCGCCTGCTCCAGGGGAGCCTGAGTCCACTCACAGGCACTGGGCCTGTTGGCCCCACAGCCTGGACGCTGCCAGTTGGAATGTCAGGAGGGTCCTGGGGTCGTAGTCCCACACCCTCCCTGGGGCAGCAGGGTGCTCTGCAGCCCCCCGGGGGCTCCCCCAGCTCCCTGGTGGGTCTTGGTGACAGGAAAGGAGCTCCTCCAGCCACTTCTCAGTGGGCTCCGAGAGGGGCCGCGCACCCCCAGGCTCTCACGGAGGGCTCTGGGATTGCAGCCCGGCCTCTGTCTGGTGGGCAGGCCTCTGGCGGGCACGGCCTGGTTCTGACCTGGCACTCTGTCCCCCACGGCACCACCTTGCCAAGCACCTCCTCTCTTTGGTGCACATGTCACCTGTGTGTATGCCGAGCTCAGGGGCAGACAGTGACGTTAACTAGAAAGGGGGCCATCAGGACACATTGACTGTCCCTTGGAGGGCCGACCTGCTGTGGTCAAGACGAGGACACAGGGCAAGGACTTCAGAAGGGGCCTTGGTGAAGGGGAGCCACAACCCACCAGGCCTGGTAGTCAGGGTCCCCAGGTCTGAACCATGACCTGGCTGTCTGCTGCCAGCAACCCACTGTCTCTCTTGGGTTCTGCGTTTCCTCATCTGTGATGTGGGGGCGACCATCTAACTCACAGGGATGCTGGGAAGACACAGTGGAAGCAAATATGCTGTACCTGGCATGTAGCACATGCTCCATAAATTGCAGCTGTCATAGTGGTGTTGGACGACCTGGCAATGGTGACAGTGAGGGTGATGGTGGTGGTGAAAGTGCTGGAAATGAGGGTGGTAGTGGTGGGGAGAGTGAGGAATGGAGATGGTGAGGATGGTGATGGTGGTGGTGGTGATGGTGGTGGTGGTGGTGGTGGTGGTGATGGTGGTGATGGTGATGGTGATGGTGATGATG